CAGCACCACCGTGCAGCCTGCACTGGTGCACTGCTGCTGCTCATACTGACATTGACTCAAGTGTTCCTGCCAAAGATGGAGGAATGATTAGGATGTGACCTTCATCAATGATGAAGACCAACAAAATCTCAGTTATATAGAGATTTAGTTCCTTATTGTTGCCCGGACAGGACTGGGTCATCCAGTACAATTACATTTTCATTTTTAGAAAATATGTTTTATTTTAAAAAGTCCACAGCAGAAAGTCTGTGATTTTTTAAAAATAAATTTCAGCTGAAGAAAGCTGTTCTTCCACAGCTGCTACCATCACTAAGTACATTTGCAGGTCCATTGCCAGGTCCCTGTGAGCTCCAGGAACTGGTCTATATTGTGTGTATTAGTGGAGAAGGAGGTCTTTTGCAGTAATACCTGTAGTCCGTGTAACGTAGTGACGGCGGTGCATGCTGGAGAGTTGGTGCAGAAAACCTCCAAACTGGCAATTTCGCGTTTGCAGCAGTTGTCTTGGAAAACCTGCATTTAAAAAAATGTTTTATTTTTTGGTCAGCCGAGCCACAACTCAGGCCACGTATGAAGATGTAGCTGCAGACCTCGGCTCGAGAGATCAACTGGCCGTCGACTGGACACACTGGTATGGATGAAGACGAGCTGTCCCTAAAACAGGACGAAAGACACGGAGTTTGAGGATGAATCTTTAACCTAAACCTTGGACAGTGTTGGAATTCAAGAGTGTCTCCTACACTAGTCCTTGAAGACAGTGGAAGCAGTAGATGTGTCCACAAGAGTTCTGCTGGGCATTGAGGACGACTCCTCTGCAGACCGGACAAACAAACTCCTCCTTCAGCTTCAACACGAACTTCAGTGAGTGTTGGATGGAGGTCAGCTCTGACTCCCAGGACTGTGTGAGATCAGGAGACATGCTGGACTCCTCTGACCTCGTCCTGGACTCCTCTGACCTCATACTGGACTCCTCCGGTTCCGCCAGCTTTATTCTATGCGTCGTAACTCTGCAGCAGGCTGATAAGAATGGTGGAGGTGACAACTGTACCACAGGCCACTGACTTAAATGATGCAGAGTCTGAATCTCAGTTCATGTTTTACTTGTCAGTAATTCTCATATAACGTGACCAAACACACAAGGCAGCGTTGGACCAGCAACTCCTGTGTTTTCAGACTTTGCTGTCAGTTAACTTTAACTTGTTTAAAAAGGCTTGTTTCAGTTATCTCTACATGTAACCCCACAGCACCCCCGCGCCCAATCCCCCGAACACACATACACGATAATCACGATAGCAGTGACCACAAATATCAGTGCCATTCTCACAGTTCACACACTTCTGGACTGATAAGATTTGACCTGAATGACCTTCAGCGTCTTACTTTCAGTTTGACAGACAGGCACCGGTCACAGATCTGATCACAGTAAAGTAACTGTAGGATCTTCTCACCTCTGAAAATCCTAGACTCAGCTTCTCAGCTTCTCCGCATCATTTATGTTGATTAGTACCGATTTTCTACAACACACAGCAGAGGCACCAGCAGCAGCAGCAGCAGCTGCAGCTGCAGGCGGTCGCAGAGGAAACCATCGGTTCAGGAAGTGACTCGACAAACTGCTGCTGCTGCGGCTTCAGTTCTCTCTGTTGTTCCATCTAGTGAAACTCTACTTAACACCACCTTAAGATACAGCTTTAACAGTGTAGACATATTGGTTTTTTAATTAAATCCAGTGGCACACATGCATGACTTTAAATTTACATTGTTTTGTATTTTTTTCTATTTCTTTTATATTCTTAACACCAAGGTAGGAGCATAAATCTCAACAAAATTTTGAAATATAGGTCTAACAGACCTTTACATTCAGTTTGTCCAAGACTGCAAAGGTTTGTTTTCATATTTAGGTTCCTGTGCCATCCGAAAAATGAATTTGAAACTAAAATGTTCAGGACGTCATGGAGCCTGAAACCGTTCAAATAAACCTGAGAAATGACACAAAACATTTACATGGTGATAGGATTTTTAATAAAATGAAACCAAGCAGAGCATTTTACAGAGTCCCCTAAAGATGTAACATAATTTCCATTAATGTTTGTTACATTTAATGTTAAGATACAGATGAGGAAAAGTCGTCAGGCAAGAAAGACAGACACTCCAGACAACAACATGGTTATTAAAAAAAAAAAAAAAACTTGACATAAAAAACAGGCTCAATGTTAAACTGTAGTTGTAGAACAGTCGACTGTCCTGACTGTAGTTGACGCACTCACAGCCTCAGACTGCTTCTCTGTGCTGTGAGTCTAAAGTATATTCATATATAAACAGAACCAGACATGAAGATGCAGAGAGACTTAGAGTGACTGAACAGGACAACCTTCTAGACGTTTCTATTCTCAGCACCACAAAGGAAATAATCCAACCTAATTAAAAAAGAACCAGTAGGTTAAAAAAACATACTATAAAAACAACAGTACCACTTAATTTTTTTTTTTTGCACTAATTATAATTAATAAAGGATTTAACGAAAGCAGACTGAATTCAAAACAATGGACATAAGTCCAGGAAGAGCCCACATGATACTGTTTGAAACTAGGATTCTGGCCACCAGGGGGCAAACTTTTTAGTTTTATATAGAAAAGGATAATAATTCACAATGTATGTAAGGCAGTGAGGTTGATCCTCTATCAAATATGACCGCTTGATGAAACGAACAATTTAAATTAGTGTTGATGTTTTTCACCCCCTGGTGGACAGCTAGAGAACAGGTGACAGTCCTATGTGGCTATCTAATTAACTTATATTTAGGTGATAGATGATTAAAAGAGAAGAAGAATATAAATACAGAAGTTGTCTTGTCAAGAGACTTCTTTAGACAGCCTCCACATGTTTAGCCACTTATCCTGCCTCACCAATGTCCCTGAGAAAATGTATGGTTTTAAATCACAGGGACACGGGGCGGGGGGGTCTACTCTGCCCCATGTGGCCAGTTTTTGTCACTGAGATTAAATTGAACAAAGGATTTACATATTCAATTACATATAAAGGAGACGAAATTATAAAAAAAAATGATACAATGTAAAATTGCTAAATGTCTTGTGTGTGTTGTAGTACGTTGTCTACAAAAAAAAAGTTTCCATTTGTTATCTGAGCAAGTTTTCTCCCATGGCCTCATGCGTGGCAAACTTTGTGGTTAAAAAAATAACGCCATCAAATGAGTCCGGTCATTTTTGCGTACAATTTCTGTGTGTGAATTTCAGGACTTGACGCAGCTCTTTACCAACGATAACTTGGTTAATGGATGGAGGAGGATGAGGCTGTCTCTGATTGGTGGATGGCCAGACCAGAGGCCTGCTGGGCAGTGCCGGGACCTGCCCCCGCAACGTTGCTGCCAAGGCTCATTGGAGCGGGAGGCCGAGGATTGAGGCGTGGGGGCATCGGGTTGGAGGGTCGAATGAGTGGTGGTGGCTGCTGCAGCGCTGGGCGGGGCTGCAAGAAGCGGGCCTGCTGCTGGAGGGGTGGGGGCTGGCGATGGAGAGAGGGCGTAGCTGGCAGTGAGGGCCGTAGAAGGGGTGGAGGCTGATGGAGGGAGGAGGAGGCGCTACCAGTTGTCACTGGAGTATGAGCAGAAGAGGACGAGGAGGCAGCAGGAGACGCACCTGAGGAGGTCACCTGACCCTGCAGAGAGAAGCCAGAGAGAAACATCTTCAACATTGAATAAATTATGACATCTTTTGGTAACGTACTTCAATTTATTTTCTAATCATGAAAAAAATTTTGTTTTTTAAGATTAAACTCTCTTTGTTAGCAGTGATGCTAACCTTAAAGTCTTTTTATTTTATTCTAATTTGTCCTTTTCTAAGGCATGAATGTTTTGGGGTAGTATTACTTACCAGTAAAACATAGAGCCTTGAAGAGACTAACTATTGTAATTAAAAACACTTTAACCAGAGGTCTTCAACAGGGGGACCTGCAGGAGGGGTCGTGAAATTTTTGTTTGATTAGTTTTTTTATCACATTATTGCATTATTTATGAGCCTGTGTAATATCTGAATAGATTAGTATCGAATGCAATATAACAAGGTGTGTTTAAACATGGCACAAAAAAAAAAATCACAGTTTTATACAATACATATACAGAATGGAGTCCCCACTCCACCTGTCCATCAGTTTGGTGTTGCTTTGCCTTGAAGAAATGTTGCAGCTGCTTCTGCAGCAGTTACTTGTTAAATGAAACATCGCCTATGAACAGGTTCCTATGTGGTATTGTGCTTTTGATAATTGTAATATATATAATAATAAAAGGTTAGGACAGCACAAAGTAAGGACAGTTCCAGGAAGTACCAAGTACTATACGTTTCCCTTGCAGGAACCACAGACAGGAAATAATTAGGCCTCCTGCAGAAATATTAATCATTCAACTAACAAATTTGATTAAAAAAATTATAGAAGGTAAAATACATTTTCTTTGTTCTTACCTCTTCATCTTCTTCATCTGTGCTCTTCCCCGATGGAGTGTTGGAGATGTTCTTCCCCTCCTCACCAGAGTTGGCGCTGTCCCCGTTGGGAGCTCTCGTTCCCTGCTCTGCCTCCCACTCCTGCAGCACCTCCTCCAGGTTAAAGCGTCGCCGATAGTTGACGAAAAAGTTCTTCACTTGGCCGACTGTCTTGTTCCCTATGACGTCTGCAATGGCCTGGAAGTCTTTTCCATATTTCCTCACACCTGCGGTGAATAAGGTAGGAGTTATATTATTAACACTGGTCATTAAAAACAAATCAAACTGCCCTTAGTGTGTACAATCTCAAAGATGTCGTGGTCATTCATCCTACCTAACATTAGAAAGAGAGATTTTTCCAAACATGGGGAAAAAATGATCAAAAACTAGATTACTGAGGAAAAAAAATGTTTTTTTCTTTTCAAGAAGTACTGAATCTGTTGCTTAATGTTAGCATAACTGTTGTAAGACGACATCAAACCCACCTTGAACAGCGAGTAGCTGCTCATCTGTCGTCCAGCGGGCATTCACCTTCTGGTTACACTAAAATATAAAGACATTACCATTAAACAGGTTGTAACAAATCAGAAAAGATTAATCTTATATATATATATATATATATATATATAAATAAACAAACATTCATGTGCAGTACCTCCTGTAGTTTCAGCTCATCAATCCCAGCCTCTAGCAGGTGTTTAAGTCCACTGTTCATCTGTTTGGCGTTCTGCACCTGAACATGTTTTTGATGCAAACTGTCAACTGTTTCTGAACAACCAGATGGCAGTACAGATATGTCAAGAGACGGTTAATGTTTGCAAAATGACTTTTCTTTATACAACAGTTGTTATTGTTAGCCAACATAGCTAATTTAGACTAATTTAGGCTAACACAGCTATACTGATGTTAGTTGAAATGTGATAAAACAAAGTTTTGCTAAAAGACCTATACAAGTTGTTGGCTTTGAGAGCTCACCCATTTTTGCATGAACATTAGTAAACACAGCTAATTAGGCGCTGGCTATCACAGTTAGAAAAAAAGCTAGCCTTGTACCTGTCTCTTGAGCGACACCAGCTCCATGTCCAGCTGTCGAAGCAGGGTGTTAGCAGCCGAGGCACTACACGAAACAGCAACCACGTCTTCTTGGCTTAAGTACATGCCTTTGGGGGGTCGGCAGCGGGAACGCTGGTGATGCCGATGCTGTAGAGTCTGGTGCTCGCGTCGGCCAAGAGCCACCTTAGAGCCTGGAACTGTGGGCTCTGGCTGGTTCTGAGAAGACGGCAATGTTAACAGTGGTGTGGGAATACTGTGCTGAGTAAAAAAAACAAATGAATTGGAAGTGTGTATAAAACCCGTTCATTATGTACCTCTTTCTTGGCCTCCTTGTTTGGGTCGTAGTCACTGTCGTTGGCTTCGATGGGATTGGCTTCCTCCGCCTCCTCATCACTGATGGGAAAAATAAAACAACAATAAAAATCAGCTTACTAAATATGTAGTTATATTATTACATGGTAAGAAAGACATGGAACAATAAGGCTCGGTCAAGCCTTAGGTTTGACCACCTCCACCACTTTTCAGATGGTCAAATATTAGCACCTACATTTACCAGTATAGTCCTGGTAATAAAAGAAAAAAAAAGTCTTGAGTCCTCGATTCATTCCACACATTCACAGTGGAAGTCTTTGAAACTCACTCGATCTGCCACAGGAGGCGCCATTAGGTGTGTGTGGTTCCTCTGGGGCTTGAACCCAGAGGAACCACATAACATAATAGTGCTGTACTATTATCAGAGCTGGAGGATTCAAACATATATTGTTAAACATTTAAATATAATATTATAGAGTATAAATATTTGGTCCCTACTGCAGAATGAGTAGTAACCTGTCATCCTGGTTGCTCCTGTTGGCCAGTTTGCGAGCCTGTCGGTCCATCAGACTGGTCCTGGAGCGAGTTTTCTTCCAGGAGTAGTAATACTTCACCAGACTGGAGATGGACTTGTCTGGTAACTGAAGCAGAAAAAAAAAAGTTGTCTTAAGCTTGACGTCAAGCCATTATTCATAAACTCATTGGCTATATTTTATGAACAACTGAAGCTTCTCTCTGAAGATTTGTAGGTTTTTTTTTCCCATTTGCTTTTGTTTTCGTGGCGACTCGTGCTGGGGTTTACCATCTGTTGGATGCGGTGAAAACTCTTCCCGTGGAAACTGAAGGCCTGTTCGAACAGGACTTTGTCCTCCACCGTCCACTCATCTGGAAACGGGGTGAAGTTGGGCAGGTCGGCCAGAGACTTTTCAATGTTGTGTTTGTGCCAAAAGAGCATGCCCAGAGCCTGACACACACAAAAAGACATACAACGTCACTTACAACAACCTGTGCAGCCAGTGTGTGAAAATAGTATTGGGAGAATTTAGATAATCTAAGAAAACAGATGCAACTTCGTGTCACCCACCTGCTCAACATTGTATCCATGTTTTTCTTTGGCGATGGCGATGTACTCGTCCACTGCAGGGGGAAAACAAATAACTGTAATTTTTAAAAACAAGTTACATACAATAATCAATGTGTAAAAACAAAGTTACCGTACATTTGGAGTCGACAATGGTGTGATATGGAGACCAGACCAGCATCCCTCCACTGTCTTTGTCTGTGTACTTGGTAGAACCTTGACCATAGCAAAGATCCAGAAAAAGACAGACGCGTCACTCTGAGGTTACACTCAAAAGTACATTTCTTTTAAAATAAATGCTGAAATACTTTCTGTACCATTTTACACTAATTATTTACTTATTTGATAATTATATACATTGTTGAAATTGTATATATTCCTGCCTATACTTTCTACATAGATGGCAAATGTGATCTTATAAGTCCAACTATGTTTAAACTATGGTGTGTCTCATTATTAGTAGTTTAAACTATTATACTATTTTGGCTAATTCCATTTAGGCTAGTTGTTACATTTTTGTGCCATTTCTATATTTCCCTAACTATTGTACAAGAGGAAGTAATTGCCACAGTACAACATGATTAAATACACAATAACTATGTCGTTTAATTAAGGATACATTGCATAGTGTCATCCGTTTTTATTTACTTTTGACATTGAAAACATTGTTAACGTGGTGTTAATACTATTACATTACTACTATTATTAGATTGATTTTAAACACACACATATTTCGCGTTTATCGAAGTAAAAACGCCGATTATTTGCCACTTTCACAGTGAGACTGCCTCGCGTCACGGCTCTAATGTATGTGTGTGTGTGTGTGTGTGTGTGTGTGTGTATGGAGGAGTGTTCGAGGCTACCACACTCCGTCACTCAGGTACGAGCACTCAAAGACTCACCGGGCTCGAATTCTGGGATACTGGCCTGGTAATCTGCTCCGACCCGCATCCCCACATCTGAGAAAGACATACGAAATGTTAAAGTATAACAAATTATAATAAAAGTCCCATATTTACAGTGTAATAGAATGGACGAGGCAGCGCCAGTAGGTTGTTCGAGGCTACCACACTCACCGTGCTCGTCGTCGCTACCGCTCTCCTCTGAAAAGTGTCCGTTAGAAGCGTTCGACGGACTCTTGGTTCCGTTCGAGCGCCCTTTACCGAGGTATTCCGAGCCTTTGTCCATCATGCCCGGCATTTTCACGCTTGTTTCGGCTGCCTTGTAGCCTCCGTGTACGGGTAGAAAATGTCAGTGAAGCCGCCGTTGCTTCTTCTTCTCTGTTGCTATATGTTGTCCAACCGCCAGCGGCGCTATGGCCCTTCTCCCTACCCGCCAATTTAAGTTTCAAGCCTTTTAGAGTAACGTGTCGCGTAGTTTAAGATTTTCTTCAGTCCGGTGTGAATCTGTAAATGTTTGATATGTCGTTTGTGGTTCGCCAACAGACAGCTTTCCTTCCTTTCATCGATCGCAGTGCTGGGTCTAACTTCCGCAGCGGAAGGATTTCTACGCACCACTGAGGAGCCGTTGCTTTGTCCTTAGATCACTCCGCCAAACAAACAATCTTCTAAACTACACAAAAATATAAAAAATAAAACAAGAGGGAAATTATTTTTTTCACACCCCGTAAAGTATATATTTTATTAAAACATTTGATACGCGTAAACCTAGATAAAATACATAAAAAATATTACTTAGCAAGAGTCATGTTTGTTAAACAGCCAATCATAAATAAATAAATGCCTAAAAATATCTCCCGAATTACTATTATTTCTTTTTATATATTCCTTTTCATATAATGTTTGTATTTAAACAATTTTTTAACCTGTTTATTTTCTCGATGTTTATCACCGTTTCCCTGCACTGAGTGTTTACCACCGGCAGAGGGAGACAGGACACAAAATACTGAAAACAAATTTAATTTAATAAAGAAATACAAATTAAACAAATCTTAGCCCTGACATGTGGTTCATCTCTTTCGTTTAATTTTTTGCCGCTTTATAACACCTTGTCTGAATTAAACACATTTATCCTAACCCCTATTGGAATCCACGTCAACCCTTAGTCTAAATCATAATTCAATGCTTTGGTATTTTCAAGGACTAATGCGGAGCTTTGGTTTCACCCCCAATAATTATTTCTGTTCCTATACGTATTAGCTCAGATTTGACCCTCGGTGTAAACGATGGAACATATCCTCAAATTCTGCTCAGACGTGCGGTTTATCAGCTGCACAACTGCACAGAGGTCGGCACTCCAGAAGGTCATCAACGCCGACCACAGAAACACAAATACGGAACAGTTTCTGCTGTGTCGTAAAAATCCCAGAGCATTCAGAGGACCGATACCAACGTGGACATTCACAGTTTGAATTGTTGCCTTCGGGCAGGGAGTCCAGGTCTGTCAAGACAAAGACAAACTGACTAAAAGCAGTGTATAGTTTAAGGCTACAACAGCTCTCAACTCACAGGGATACGTATGTGTGGTTCCTTTTGACTTGTCTTCTCTGTCTCTGCTGTAAAGTGACACACCTTAATATGTAATTTAATAATTAATAAAGTTAGTAAGTTAGTCTCGGTTCAAACCCTATTTACCGAGGTCTAAACAATCTAAGACACTGTTATCACGGCCTTAGCCCAACTTTGGTCTGAATCGAGCCGTGAGGTGTCCCAATCTTAATCCTCTTGGTCTTAATTTAGTTTATAATCCGCAAGATTGGGGCTGCAATAAGCGGTTACTACCAGCAGAGGGAGACGCTCCTAAAATTCATACGAATCCACAGAAGGTTTACTCTTGTCCTCACTCGGTACGAACACTGATAAAATAACATAATCAGAACTCACTGTGCTGTGAGCGCCCCCTGATGGTTATGAGAGTTGGGGAATCGAATGAATCTAGAAGTTTCCACATCTTCCTGTTGAATGCTTTTTAACTCAATTGAATAGAGTTCAATTTATTTATAAAAGTCAATTAGAAATTTCATTTCAGAGTTTTTTTTTATTTTAAGTTTTAAACATTTCTCTATACATTAAAATTTCACAAGGTTCATAAACAAAATGTACAAATGTTCCACCACAACACTTTTTAAAAAAATTTATTTATACATATTTTGGTTTGGTGTACCCACCGTCAATTGGCTTTGGTCTCTCTCTCTCTCTCCCCCCCTCTCTCTCTCAGCGTGGGCTCTAGCTGCAGCCATCTGCCAATGAACAGGCTGCGGAGAGACGGGCAGGGAGGCAGAAGCTGGTGCTCGTGCAGCGGCATTTACAGAGATGTGAGGCGGAGGCAACAGAGCAGGTGTGCTCCTCGCTCCCTTCGGCAGGAGGACGGACAGACAGCAGGATGGCGGGAGGGCGGCGGGGTCTGGTGGCCCCGCAAAACACCTTTCTGGAAAACATCGTCCGCCGGTCCAACGGTGAGGTCCACGATCCGGTTCAGTCTGGATATCGTTCTTTACCTTTCACGCTCTCCCTCTCTCACACACACACACACGCGAGCACAGACACCAGCGTGAGAGTGCCTCTAGTCAGTGCAGGTTCGGTTCACTACTGTTGTTCGCTCAGCTTTGCCCGGCTCTCATGTCAGGATTGCTCCCATGACGTCAGGACCAAGGGTTTTTTACTATCATAAACAACAGGAACCATTTCTGCCAGATACAGTACCAACCTGTGTTGAACCCAGAGTTTTACCCAGGTCTTAGCCTTTATCACCCAGTCTCCCCAGGTCCAATCATCAGTCAGAGGTTTGACCGTTTACTGTACATAGAAACTGGGCAGAGCTTGACTGTGGGTAGAGGTGTGTGTTTGTTGTTCATGGAACTGTGTTAAATGATGTTAACTCCCACCCTGATCATAACGTCAGTAAAGCTGACACACCTGTGGTCTCTGCATTCTACCCATCACCAAAGTAGCAGTGTCATGCTCAGAGCACTGGACTTGAACCTTAAACCTTCCAGACCCAAGTCTGCTTCCCTAACCACCGAGTCACCACTGCCATCAACACAATATACCCTGGATCGGGGCACCTGTTGGACGAACCATCCATCTCCTCAGGTCTGACCTTCAGTTCAGGTCAAACCTGAGCTACGATTTAACCTTTAGGTTTAGCTTTTTTTCAAACCTGACTTCAACCCTCAGGATGAAAATCAGTTTTTTCAGTTTGTCTGATTATGTGGCCCTGTGATTAGGATTCAGTTTCACCTACTGATGTGGTTCCAGACACTGATGCCTCAACATATTCCAGAGTTTCCTCTTGTTCTCTCTGTGTTTCAGACACGAACTTCGTACTGGGAAACGCCCAGATCGTGGACTGGCCCATTGTCTACAGCAACGATGGATTCTGCAAACTGTCCGGTTATCACCGAGCCGAGGTCATGCAGAAGAGCAGCACCTGCAGGTGAGGTGTTGGCATTACACCAACGCGAAGACCACTGTTGCCGTTGTAACCGTTGCGTGTTTTCTCCTCAGCTTCATGTACGGGGAGCTGACAGACAAGGAGATGAGCGAAAAAGTTCGGCAGACCTTCGAGAACTACGAGATGAACTCCTTTGAGATTCTCATGTACAAGAAGAACCGTGAGTCTTTGGATTTCTCTGAGTTGGCTGCTGCGTCAACAGATTATTACTTTACATTGAAATACAAATTTAAATTTTAACTGTGAACTTAGTCACAGTAGTGCTTTGTGTTTTTGCACCGCAGGGATGCCAGTTTGGTTCTTTGTGAAGATTGCACCAATCAGAAATGAGCAGGACAAAGTTGTCCTGTTCCTTTGCACTTTCAGTGACATCACAGCCTTCAAGCAGCCAATTGAGGACGACTCCTCCAAAGGTCAGACGAAAACATGTACAGGTTCACTGACCAACTGACCTTGAGGTAAAAAAAAACCCACACATTTTATGTGAATTCAAGGATGCACTCAACCAATAGATGCTGTGGCCAGAACTACAATAAATAGGTGAAAGATGCTACGCTAAAGGTTAAACTTTGCCCAGCACTGTCAAAATTTACAACCACTGGAGAAGTAAAAGTGAGTGTGGTAACTTTCAACTTTTTAAAGAAAGAACTAAATGTTAGCAGAAAGGTTTCAACTTTTTAAAGAAAGAACTAAATATTAGCAGAAAGGATGGGGCACAATATAGTAAAAATAAAATAAGAAAAAAAAAAAAAGGTAAATAATAAAAAAAATTAAGATTTGTTATTTTTTAGACAAGCTAATAATGACAACTAAACATTAGCCAAGAGAGAGCTTTAGAACATTTGGAAAATATTCTTAAGTTTATTTAGAGCTAAAAGGTAGAGCAGAATGGACAGAAAATCCATTTGACCAAATGACAGATTTTATCCCAGGGATGAAAAATGTCATCCACAATGTTGTTACACTCGATAAATGCATAGACAATGAAAGAAAATGACGAAGGTTTTTCTAGAAGCTTCTGTTGTTTAGTCACGCCTGCAGCACTGCAGTCTTGAGTGTCTGAAGGAGTTCCTCTGTGTTGTCGTTAGGTTGGGGAAAATTTGCACGTCTGACTCGGGCGTTGACCAGCAGTCGTGGCGTTCTCCAGCAGCTGGCTCCAGCAGTACAGAAAGGAGAGAATGTTCACAAACACTCCAGGCTGGCAGAGGTGAGACAGGAGCTCAGAGCAGGACGTCTGCCGTACCTGTGATGATGATGATGATGATGAAGCTACGTAGTTCGTCAGTGATATTTTAGCCTCTTCTTATGACGCACTAGTCTGAGAATCTTTATCTTCATCCAGTCCAGAGTCTGTGCTCGGAGCTGATGTTTTATAAATGACTGCACTTTGTACTTTCTCCACTCATCTGCTGAGAAAGTGACAGGAGACAGAAGTGATTTGACCGCAGTGCTGCGTGCCTGTTTAAGAAAGAAATTTTCAGCTAAAACCAACAACACACCAGGAGCCGTAGAAGCAGCTTGGAGCATTTAAAACGACACAAGAGATGGAAACTAACTGGCCATACATATTATATATACATACTATATATATATATATATATATATGTATATATATATATTATATAATATATATATTTATCTTTGTTTGTCTTCCTTCTCAAATCAGTGTTTTTTTATGTTATTTAATCAGTAATGCATAAAAGACAAAGCCATATTTCTCAGTTTTTACAGCGGTTTAAAAACCATACACCTGATTTGCAGTCGTCAGGTACCAGAACAAAGAGAGACCTCTGAGACTGTGCACTCTGGAAAAATTTAGTTGTTGGTGATTTTATCTTTTTTCTCTGCTGCTACATTTTTTTCTTTTCAGTCAGGTTATTCTATTATTTCTTGGTTGTCTGCTAATTTTGTCCATCAACCCTCAAACTTGCGAGGTTGAAAATCAGAGATACCGACGTTGTTTTTTGTCACATTTAACGTCAGGTTCTCCAGCTGGGCTCTGACATCCTTCCTCAGTATAAGCAGGAAACTCCAAAGACGCCGCCGCACATCATCCTGCACTACTGCCTGTTCAAGACCACGTGGGACTGGGTCATCCTCATCCTCACCTTCTACACGGCCATCATGGTGCCCTACAACGTCTCCTTCAAGACCAAGCAGAACAACGTGACCTGGCTGGTGGTGGACAGCATCGTGGACGTCATCTTCCTGGTGGACATCGTCCTCAACTTCCACACCACCTTCGTGGGCCCGGCCGGCGAGGTCATCTCTGACCCGAAGCTCATCCGCATGAACTATGTAAAGACCTGGTTTGTCATCGATCTGCTGTCCTGTCTGCCGTACGACGTCATCAATGCCTTTGAGAATGTTGACGAGGTCAGTGACCTTCAGTCCATTTCCTTTTTTCAAAAAGCTAGAGGCTCAAATCTAGTTCCTTTTAAAGACGTTTAATGAGTCGAGAATGTTACAGGAACCAAGGATCAATTTCTACACACGTTAATGTTGATGTTAAATGAGCGGAATTAATTAGCCGAGTCATTTTAGTGTTTTTTTTCCAAAGGATCAAGTGTTTGTGCTGTTATGTAAAAGCGGTGATTTTCTGTGAGGGTTTTCTCTGTGTGAGAGTGAGAGGCAGTTCTGTCCAGTAACGTTTCACAGTGAGATGAAACCGTTTTTGTTTCTTATTCAGCTGCAGTCACTGCTTCAGCCTCACTCTCTGTGTCTACACTGAATTTCAACTAAAGGCGAGAAAACGCAGCAGAATCTTTACAGCGTTTCAACCTGCTGCTGTCACGGATGATGTCATGGATGTAACAAGTACATTTAAAAAAAAAGTGGATAAATCTACAAATCATATATTTGGACAGATTTTCAATCATAGAACTGACCTTGAAAATTATCATTTGTAAAATGAAATCAATAATTTTACCTAAGAGTTTAGCCCAGAGAAAGCTAAATTAATGAGTTAAAGTTAAATGATGAGCAAAAAATGACAACATAAAGTTGGAGCTAATCCATCCATCTGATTAATGTACAGGACTTGATGACTTTTACAGCCTGAACTTCTGGGGTTGAAGCTGACTTTTACCCCCAGCACAGACCAGACCTGGGTGGAGCTTGAATGACACACATGAGTCGGACATGTATGAAGCTGCAGCTGCTCCACCTGCTTCAGCTGCTCCTCCTCTCCATGTCCGACCCATCTCTCATCAAGCCACTCATTCACGGCGTTGAGAAATGCTACCCATGATGCATTGCTGGCCCTCCATCGATGGCCCTCTGGCTATTTTAGAGCAGCGTGGGCTGAGGCGGAGCCCGTACAGAAACTGAAGGACGTCCTTAAAAAATAACAACAACAACGACACAACTGAAACAGCTACACACGTCACAACAAATACTGATGGGATTTTTCTTTAATCGATTTGGAAATGAATTCTTTTGTCTGGTCATTTTATGATTTCATAATATATACAGTGTATGTACTGGAGTAGGGAGTTCTTAGCCTGGAAAACGTTGAAGCTTTACTCTGCTTTACTCCAGTTTTTTTTATACTCACGTCGTTGGTTTCCTCTCAGGGCATCAGCAGCCTCTTCAGCTCCCTCAAAGTGGTTCGTCTGCTGCGTTTGGGTCGAGTGGCCAGGAAACTGGACCACTACATCGAGTACGGAGCCGCCGTGCTGGTCCTGCTGGTCTGTGTCTTTGGTCTGGCAGCTCATTGGCTGGCCTGCATCTGGTACAGCATCGGCGACTATGAGGTCATCGACGAAGACGCCAACACTGTGAGGATGGACAGCTGGCTGTACCTCCTGGGTGAGACCGTGGGGACACCCTACAGGTTCAACGCCTCCGGCTCTGGACGCTGGGAAGGCGGGCCCAGCAAAGACTCAGTCTACATCACCTCGCTCTACTTCACTATGACCAGCCTGACCAGCATTGGCTTTGGAAACATCGCCCCCAACACGGACGGAGAGAAGATCTTTGCAGTGGCCATGATGATGATTGGCTGTGAGTTATTTCTCTCTTGTCACTCGTTCATTTGTTACACATCAAGGTCAGGAGTTAAGCTGGACTCTGGCCAAAATGATCTCTGAATTGTTCAAAATGTTATTTTAATGCTAATGTGTTCTCTTTTTTTTGGCAGCTCTCTTGTATGCCACCATCTTTGGTAATGTCACCACCATCTTTCAGCAGATGTATGCTAACACGAACCGCTATCATGAGATGCTCAACAGTGTGAGAGATTTTCTAAAACTCTACCAGGTTCCCAAAGGCCTGAGCGAGCGTGTGATGGACTACATCGTGTCCACTTGGTCCATGTCACGAGGCATCGACACAGACAAGGTAAGTTGTTTGACATAAACATATTCCATATTATTTGACAACTGTAGATACTGCATGTTTTAACACAACCAGTTTGACTGTTTCAGGTGTTAGCATATCTAAGGATAGGAGGTGATGTTAGCAAGTTAGAATGTATTATGTTAGCTTAGAGTTAGCATGTCAGAAATTAAATTGTATAATAATTTCTAATGTAAAGTCTGTAAATAACTTCAGTTCACAGACTTTGGAAGAACCTTGTAGAAGTGTCAGGCAGGAGTTTCTAGCTCCCTCTGCTTGTGTCTGCAGGTACTGCAGATCTGTCCCAAAGACATGCGCGCCGACATCTGCGTGCACCTCAACAGGAAGGTTTTTAAGGAGCACCCGGCGTTCCGGCTAGCCAGTGACGGCTGCTTGCGAGCGCTGGCCATGGAGTTCCAGACCGTCCACAGTGCTCCTGGAGACCTCATCTACCACGCCGGAGAGAGTGTGGACAGCCTCTGCTTTGTAGTGTCCGGCTCCTTGGAAGTCATCCAGGACGACGAGGTGGTGGCCATTTTGGGTGAGAAAGACATTCTCCAGATGATTTCGACTGATTTCTCACTGACCACTCGAATCTACTCATTTTCTTCGATGTTAGAACCAGATGTCCCAGAACCAAAACATGTCCAACCATCATCTTGTCTGTAGCAGACTGTTGCTCAGACAGCACTGACACGTCTGCCAACTACAGGTGGTCCGGTTGGCCGTTGTTGTTGCTGCAGCTGCTGCTGTTATAACACACATCCATCAGTGTGATGAATGTGTTGAACTGCTGCACTCTGCTGCTTCAGTAACGACGGATCGACCCGTTGATGCTCCCTGGTCACTCTGCCCTCATCGGAGGCAACACGAGGTGGAATTTAATGGATACGATAAAAACCCCAGTTCATCAGACATAAAAAATAAATCTTATGTCTTAGGCCTTGAACTTTAGACTCAAAAATTGGGACAGAGACACCAGTTTGTGACATCTGCTGAAGTCTCCAGACGACTTGACTCTGTCTCTAAATGTTGTATTAACCACTGTTTTTACCTAATTAATAATTCATAGATTCAGTTGATTTCTGTCTTTGTTGACACAACAGCTTTTATGTGTGTCTGTCCGACAGGTAAGGGTGATGTGTTTGGCGACATCTTCTGGAAGGAGATGACTCTAGCTCAGTCCTGCGCCAACGTGCGAGCGTTAACCTACTGTGATCTCCACATCATCAAACGTGACGCGCTGCAGAAGGTCCTGGAGTTTTACGCCAACTTCGCAAACCACTTTGCCAGGAACCTGGTTCTCACCTACAACCTGAGGAAGAGGGTGAGTCAAACTACTCCTCACCCCCTCAATACGGGACGGTTGCAAAAAAAAGGTAGTCGCACCTGTGAAGGCACCGTCCACGAAGATGTTGATGATTTTTTTTGGAACTCCATTTTTTCTGTTCATAAATGGGGCCACACGGTGGTGTGTGTGTGTGTGTGTGTGTGTGCAGGCTATACAGACCTCCCTACACTCCAAATCTGTCTGGTATTTAAAATGTTGGCAGCAGTGACCTGATACTGTTGAGCAACTCCTGTTTTTTTAGAGAATTAAAAAATGTTTATGGTTGCAAAAAAAGGTAGTCGCATCTGTGAAGGCACCGTCCACGAAGATGTTGATGATTTTTTTTGGAGCTCCATTTTTTCTGTTCATAAATGGGGCAACGCGGTGGTGTGTGTGTGTGTGTGTGTGTGTGCAGGCTATACAAACCTCCCTACACTCCAAATCTGTCTGGTATTTAAAATGTTGGCAGCAGTGACCTGATACTGTTGAGCAACTCCTGTCTTTTTAGAGAATTAAAAAATGTTTATAAAAAAGATGTTTAACAAATAGACTTCACTTCATTACAGGAATTTTATTAATATTTCTGAAGTTGGATCT